CCCCTCCAAGCGCTAGCCTCCTTTGGACACCGTTACTCCATTCTTACACAGTAGAGTTCAAGATAGACATCATGTACCAGTGACGAAGCTTTATAGTTTAACATAATCTGCACCTGATTAGGCTCTCTAATCAAGCCAGAGATTTGACCTTGGAAATATAAGAAATTGAATCAACATGCCGCATTTCGGCGCTCGTGCTGCACTTGATTACTGGTGTCTTCTTCGATGTCACAGAACCAAGAGCTATGTCCAATACATGTATTGATAGCATTCACTCATGGACTGCACGATACCATGTCTATGTCTTCACAATGCTTGTGTGAATGTGGGGGCAATTCTACGAATCCAATGGCACAGGTTACTACACGGGGAACTGATTCTATGCAATTTAAAGTACTCACTGGATGGTTCCCATGAAAAATCTGGTAGAAACCAGCAATTTCAAATTATAACGAAAACGTTACATATCAATTTTCTGGTACCATGCCCATTCAATGTCAATATGCCGCGTAAGTATATTGCCTCGATCTCAGGGACTGTAACTGTTCAGGAATCATATCGTCTCATTTACTCATCTTTACGTAGTACCTGAACCCCTACCGTATTCATAATATCTAGAAATGCTCCCAAGGAAGCATTACACTCCACTTCTATACTCCTCTCGGCACTACCTCCACTTTCATCACGTGCGCACAAACAGTCCGCCCCGCTCGCTTTCACACCTGCAGAAGGAGTAAACAAGCACCTGCTTGGCTATATCACCTCTGCAAACCCTTCTCTCTGATCCAAGCACCCTGACTGCAACCAAATCCGAAAGACAACCTAAATGCTACAAACATGTCGCATCAGTCAAATGAATACAGTTCGCAAGTACGCCATGCGTGGGTAAACGAGCAAGGTAAGTGTCTAACTCTTAGTCAAATTAGTTGCTCGACTGCTTGCTGTTTCTATAATGTTACCCTCCTACTGACGCAGGACAGCGGCGTATCAGCGAGTGCGTCTGCGCATGCGCATCCTTGAAGATGTGTGCAGGCTCGCACAAGAAGACAATCGGCTAGAGAACGTACTGTGCATAGCACCGGATATACTGCGTAGACTTGAGAAGCATCGATTCCCATACCCGCCGCGTCTCGAGGATCTGGATGATGCACAAGTTGTTGAGGAAGCTACTGCCGCTCGAAAGTGGTTATCCGCCGTACTCGATTGTCATATCAAGGCTATGCCGCGAGAGCAAGAGATGCTGACGATCAAGCTCGCTGTTGGAAAGCAATACAAAGGTCAACAGGGAGACTGGACGGAGAGGGAGAGGCTGTATATGGCTCTCACCGACTACAGTCTCCCATCATCAGAGAGCCGCTTGCAGGCTGGGTTCATGGTGGCGCTACACCGCAATCTCGCAGAACATCTGCAGGATATTGTCAAGCTTGGTGCAGTATATACCGAGCGCCTCCAGCGCTTGTCAGATGAGGCCGCCGACTTGCTAGACACGCTAGCACGTATTGCGGATAAAGCAGAGTCGATCGTAGTCGACCACTTTGCTTGCGCTATACCCTTGGCGCAGCTTGCTACTACTACAAACGACACACGTGTTATTGGTGATGACACTGCTGCGTGCTGTCCAATATGCCAGAATCCCTACACCGCCCTCTCCGAATTCCCGATCCACGAGCTTCTGGACGACTATCCAGTGCGGATCAAGCACTGTGGGCATGTCGTCGGCAAAGCTTGCCTTGAGCAGTGGATGATGACGCCAAAAATCGAAGAGGCCAAATACCCCCACCGCACATGTCCACTGTGCCGGGTCAAGGTGGAAGGGGTAAAGCCTCCGGAGACGCCCCGAGCGTTAAAGAAGCATTTCCAAGACGACCGAAGAGCTATGGAAGCTCTCCATGAGTTGATCTATGGCTTTGGTGTGGAGGTGGAAGACTGCATGAGTGCGGTGGCTAAGTGCATGAGCGAGGAGATTGCGTGCACTGAACTTTTGACTGTGGTTGCACGCAGCGGCAGCAACGAGGAGCAGTGCGAAGTGCTAAAGGAAGAGGTTAAGGAATTACAAAAGGAGAAGCGGGCATGGGGCTTCCGAGGAGAGGGAGTATGGAGCAGGTTGAGAGACGAGTGGATGAAGAGCGGCGTGGTCCGAGGGGCATGAGGCATTTTCCTCTGGCACCATATTCCTTCGACCAAGGACGTGTGGTGGATAGGCATCTGTACAGTGATGGTTCTGAGTAATGATAAAGATGGGTCGGATCAGAAGACAACGGACACCGGTGTATGGGAATGGGTGTTGGGATGGCCCTAGATGGGAAATTTGGTGCCTCCACCCGTTGGTTGAGGCAGTGCAAGATACTAGTTGGTGAGCCATTTTCAACAAGAGCGTCCAACTCGTTTTGTGCATATGTCCATTTTTCCAAGCCGATCCGCTCAAAAGCCAAGAAAGCAGCGGATCTACAGCGGACATGAAAGAACGCATCAAGTGATCAGCAAGTGTACACGGGTGATAGACGGTGGAGGGCCTGGATTGGCAGGCACTGTTACATCGCCTGCGCGTGTGGGCGGCTCCGCTTGCGATAGAGTCTATGTGCTAAGCATACACGCACACGAGCACAGGATTGCTCGACGCGGACAATATCCCCAGGCGTTGAGCGTAAAGGCCATGGCGGCTGGGCGCGGAGAAAATGGACGCATCCCGTCACCCATCTGGACCCTCGTTTCGTCCGCAGACCCCCGCCATGCTGACCCCCTCACCCCTCACAATCCAGCGCGCTGTGCGTATGTCGAGCGAGAGATAAACTAGTTTCCGTCTGAGGCTGAGCCGAATATTGTTATCGTGCAGTAATCGTGTCTAGGCGCGGGCAACCCCCGGATTGGACTCCACCCAGCACAGGGTACACCTGTTGAGCGGGCGTATGACGTCGGGGCTGTGAAGTCGCGTATAGGCGCATCACGCGAATTGCCACAGGCAGTCCCTGGGCATGGCTTGGCTCTATGACGACTGATGATTGTTTGTAAAAGGAAACGCGACCTCGTCCCTTTCTCAGTTCAAATCAATTCGTTTTGCATTCTACAATTTCCACTCTACAAAAAAAAGCAACTCCAAAAGCCACAGCCGTCCACTATGAGTGTCAACGTAATTGACGTCGGCGTCAGCAGGGTGAGTGCCTTGCCCCTTGCATGCTCCCATTGCCGGCATGCCCACTACCCCAGTCGGCACTCGCTAACTTCCCCTACAGATTTCAGGTGCCCGCGAACACCAGGAAGACAGATACATCACTCTCCTCCCCGGCTCAATCAAATCTCGGAAAGATCTCGCAATCTTCGCAGTTTACGATGGCCAGTAAGAACCCTGTCCCGACACTAGCCACTGTGGCGTTGAGGCTGACTGTTCGGCCCACAGCGGAGGCACACAAGTTGTGAACCATGTGGCGCAGCATCTCCACACACACCTAGAACAGCACTTGACACATCCGAAAGCATCGAGTGTTGCAGAGTATAAGCATGCAATTCAGTCTGCTCTAAAGGCTGTAGATCGTGAACTTGATCAGGCCGATCTGGATGGCGGCTCAACTGTAACCCTAGTCCTCGTCGACACCAAGCAAAATCTCCTCATCCAGGCAAACCTAGGCGACAGCCATTGCTACTATGCCGAGCATGAGGCCCGCTCTCCACAGTCACTCTCCCCCAATTCGCCCGCACGGTCAGACTCGAGCATGGGCTGGAACGTTGAAGCCCTAAGCGTAGAACACACACCAGACAGCCCGTTGGAGAAGCGAAGAATAGAAGAGTCGGGCGGCCAAATCAATTACACATCTGGCATCGCCCGTATCGGCGGTGTCAGCATGTCGCGCGCACTCGGTGACCTCGACTTGAAGAAGCCACGCGTCAATCGCCTCGCTGGCCATGACCTTTCAGATCTCGTCGGAGTAGAAACTGGCCTTGCACCAGGAAAGGCTGCAAAGCATGACCTTGTGTCCAACAAAGCTCATTTCTCAGTACGAACCCTCAACGGCCAATCCCTTATCCTCTTGGCATCTGATGGTGTTGGTGGGGCGCGCGAGGCAGAAGTAGCCACACAGTTGGCTGTAGACAGGTGGCAACAGGGCAAGGAAGCAAAGGAAATTGCAGAGGAACTGACTCAAAAGGAGGGCCAAATGAAGGGTGCAGACAATTGTACAGTTATGGTGGTGGTGCTGGACACAGAAAACAAGGGTCGCAGGAGCATAGACAGCAGGAGAAGGAGTTTTGACGTATCCTCAGAACGAAGCAGTTCGAGGCGAAGACGACGTTCTAGCATTACGAGCCTGAAAGACTGGATACGCGATCTTTAAGCTGCCGGCGCCATGTCGGATGTTTATTCATTGTTCACGAAGATATAGATATTGTTAAGGGACCGGATGGAGGTATTCTTCTTCAAGCTGCTTAAAGATCATGCGGGCCATGAGAGCATAGCCGGCGTAGATAGGCGCATCAAAAGCGTCCGAATTCTTGTGTAACGTATACTGCGTGTTGCATCATAGCATTGGTAACAAGAAAAGAATGGAAAAATTCAAAAAGTGAACAGTCCATGATCACGTACATGGTTGCTGAATGTCTCATTCATCTTTGAATTAATACAAAATGACTTCATGAAGTGAAACTTGGTCATCTTCACACTTCTCACTTCATCTACTTCTCACCTCGAAATGGAAAATGCATGAATACGCATTGCCCTCCGAACAATCAAAAAGGAAATTGTACTCAAAGTATGAGTTCTATAGAGATTCCATACTCTATGGTAGTCTCGATTGCTGCCTGGATGAATCAGACATGAAGCCAGAAGCCTTGGGCAGGTGACGCAAAATACTCAAGACAATCGAAGTGATTCACAGCTGCCTCACTCCCCTCGAAAACAAAGCCCAAAATGTTTAATATCCAATCCCTAAACCCATAAATGCCAAACACACATACACACCATCACCACATTCAACAACAACCCCTATCCAAAGCATCCCACCTCAAAGACAATGATCATCCGCCAACAAAACCTCGACTACACCACCGCCGTATCCAAAGGCCACGTCCTACTGACTCTGATGCGCGCAACCGACCACGAAGCCGCCCTCCTCCTCAACTCCCCTCTTCAAACCGCCCAAACCACCTTCCTCTCCCCCTCCGCCCTTTCCCACTGGGGCTACGAAAGAACCCCCTTCACCCTCCCCTCCTCCTCCCCCCTCTACCCCCTCCAACACTCCCTCGGCGTATCCCCTTCCACAAACACACCAATCGGACACTCGCACCTCGACTCCGGCGTGAGAAACGGCATCTACGTACCCGTTACGTGGGCGAAATTCAACACCGTGATCAACGGGGCGGCGGGAATGATTGTAGCTGTCGATAACGAGTCGCCCAGTCAGATTCTCTTACGCGAGGGCTGCGAGAAAGGGGGAAAAGGGAGAGGAGGCGCATTGCCCGAGTTACGGTATTGGTCCGACGTCGTGTTTCTCCAGTGGCAGATTATCGCGGGGGGGAATGCGAATTTACGGTTTGTGGTTCGGCTGGGGATTACGAATGCGGCTACGCTTGATATTCTGGGGCGTGTTTTGAGGAAAGATGGGGTTGTGGATGAGGAGAGGACGGTGGGTCTGGAGAGGAATGTGGTTTGGAGAGTACAGGAGGATGAGGAGAGTGTAGCGGCGATTCTGGGAACGCCGAATGGGAGTGGGGTGGCGAGGTTGCTGATGCATCATAAGAGAGAGTTGGGGCATAAGGTTGTGGAGGAGGTGCGGTTGGTGGGGTGGAAGGGGGAGGGGGTTGGGGAGCCGAGTTTGGTGTTTAGGATTGGAAATGTGTATGGGGAGGGGGATGGGGGAAGTCAGGAGACGGTTAGGGGTGGGAGTGTTTTGTGAGATTAGGGAGTAAGTGTTTGTATGTTCGAGTTGTAGCGGGTCTTGTTATACACGGCCGTTGTTTCGGCCGGTTCGTAATGCACTGATGGGATAACTGGGATTTAATGAAGTGGGGGTAAATCAGTTCTTTAATACAAAAGCATTTTAATCTTCAATCATTCACGGACACTAGATTCTGCCTTGATTTCCTTCCCCCAGTAACTTGCCCAACATCCACCCTGGACCTATCCTCCTGGCCACTCTCCTTTACGCTCCGTTCCACGCTATCAAGCAGACTCTCACTCCCCGTCTTAACACCCACGTTACTACTACCTTCATACTCTTGCTTCGTGTTCTGCTTTAAGTCTTCTCCTCGACGCTGCTCAGAGGTATCAGAGGCGTTTTGTTGGCCATATGAAGACTAGGTGTAGGCACTTAGTATGTACATGAACCGAAGTGTCACGTGAAGATCAAGTAGACAATTATGAAATGTAGATGACGGAACGTACCTTATCCACCGAAGTACTCAAACCAGCAGGATCGGTCGACCTTCCAGTCTTGAATGGGACGCTGGGATCGCCTTTGAAAGTACCTGATGTGTCATCGCCGGGATTGACGGGGTTCTGGGGTTGCGTGTTGGAAGATTCTTGGATAGTGAGGGAAGACATTGTGAACTTGTGTAGTTGGGTTTTCTAGATAATTGGGATTCAAGATCCGCTCCGTTTTTTGAATGTGTAAAATGAGTTTGAATTGTTTTTGAGTATTCTAGAAGATTAGATTTCGGTAAGATGTAGTTGTGACGATGTTATGAGTCAAACGTCATTGTGAACGAGAACGTGTGGGTAGACCCTGAGATCGAAAACGCATCGTATTATGCGGTGGGAATTTATGAAAGTCACTTCCAGACTTGCAGTGTTATGCTCCAGATGAATCATTTATGAAAATCCAAATTTTCAACATATGGTATAATTACAGACTATTTTCTAATCAAGATCATCGCTTCAAATACCAAAATCTATTGTCTAGTCCTCTACAACTTGCTCTTGGCGATCGAAGCATCATCAGCAACAAACAGAGATTGCGACTTCTTCATCGTCTCGATAGCTTCCCGCTCAATGCGGTTGATAAGCTCCTCGTTGGTGGGGATATCATGGATGAGTCCGATGACTTGACCAGCAGTCCAGACCTAAGAATGTCAATAATTATCCAAGCAGGGGAGCGCATTCTTCACTTACACCAAAGTCCTTGTCGCCATTCAAGAAGACCTGTCGGCCTCGCTTGCCGCTCACAAACTCGGCTACCTCCTCGAACTTGCCAGTTGGGCTGGTCTTCTCTACATCGACCGCCTGCAGAGCAACCTTGTTCGCGAATAAACGGGAGGTGTTCTTCCATCGTCGAAGGACCAAAGTAGTGTCTGTTTCCTGAGCATCTACGATGGCTTGCTTGATGTTCTGGTGGATAGGAGCCTCAACTGTGCACATGAATCGGGTGCCCATGTTGATACCGCATGCACCGAGAGCAAGCGCAGCAGCCAAACCCTGACCATCAGCAAAGCCTCCTGAAGCGATGAAAGGTACACCGAGCGACTGGCGGGCTCTGCTGAGCAGGATGAAGTTGGTGATGTCCGTCTCGCCAACGTGACCGGCGCACTCGAAGCCGTCAATGGACAGGAAGTCAACGCCGAGCTTGACAGCAGACTGGGCGTGCCTGATGGTGGTGCACTTGTGTAGGATGATCGTGCCAGCAGCCTTCAGTTGCCTGATAACTGGGCCAGGGCTGTTTCCTGCCGTCTCGACAATGTTGACCTTCTCCTCGATAATGACACGGGCGTACGCGCCGTAGTCCGGAGGTACCATGGCGGGAAGAAGGGTCAGGTTGACGCCAAAGGGCTTGTTGGTCATGGTTCGGCATCTTCGGATTTCCTTGCGAAGATCTTCGGGGGTTGGTTGGGTGAGGGCGGTCAACTATGGGGGTATTGTAAGGAGCGGCATCTTGAGATGGTGATATGGTGGATGCCTACTATTCCAAGACCACCTGCATTGCTGACAGCCGAAGCAAGCTCAGCATATCCCACCCATTGCATGCCTCCCTGCACAACGGGCACTATTCACTGTTAGCACCTATACGTCTCAGGCGCAGTCGAAGGTGAGCGTGCGTACCTCTGATGCCGAGTGCCCTCGTAAGTTCTGTGTTAAAAGGCATGTTGGGCTCACAGTTGGGTCACAGCAAAAGTCGGTGACGGGTATAAAAGATGAAGCGACCGCTGGAGACAAGAATGTAGGAAAAAAGATATCCAAAACGTGGAGGCGCGACCTGGAGACGCTCGCGCCGGCTGGGGCATGGCAGGTCGTGTGGGGAAGCCATGTGCCTCGGCAACTCGGACAACGCGACGCCAAACCAAGGTAAATGTCCGTCAGATGATTACTCTTGCACCGAGTTGCCTATATTCTCGACTCGACATGGCTGAATCGCCGGGATAATTTCTTTTGGGAACAAGGTGTCTTCGCCTAATGAATAATATTGCCGGTGTGTTCAGCAGCAAAAGTCATCGGGGAATATCTGTCACATGCTTCTTGGCACTGTCTAGCAGCCAACATTCTAGACATTTATTCCACCGTGTTCAGCCAAACAGACTGTGACACTAGTTTTTTATGTAGAAAATATTGCAGCTAATTATAATTTAACTAAATATTACGGTTGGTCCTAATAGTTCTTTGTGCGGGGCTAAATGCGAACAAAAGTAGTGGTCAGCACGAGCACAGCAGGGGACAGGTAAAGTGATATAAAGCTGAAGCCACACGCTTCTTCAGTGCCGCTTACATGTTGTAATCATGATACTGGGTGTGGGTGGTCAGAAACGGCTGCCGACCAAAGTACAGCTACGTGGTATAGCAATTCAACCCTATTCTAAGCCATACCAAACGCCCGCCTCATGCATAACCGGGAACTCTAAATCAATCCAAATATCCCGAACCTCTTAACACTATGAACGTAACTTCCCAAGCCCGAATTTTCTGGAAAAGTAAAGATCCTGGTGGAGTGTTAGAAAAGATACGAGCGGGAAAAGCTATGAGTGATGAGTCTCTTACCCAGAAGCCGCGGGGAAGAAGCCATGAAAGCCATTTGACCAGACTTGATTGATGTCCACGCCATAGCCAGGCTTTGGAGGTTGGTTCGAGAAGGTCGCTCACGACTTTCCGTGCGTAGGTTTCCGTCGGCATTGCCGTTCCTGACACAATATCAGCATCTTGCTCAACACATGAGTCTCATTGACCTACGCTGAGAGTTTCCTTGACGGAACAAATAGTCTTCCTCTATGGGCATGTACAGCGAATTCGGTGGAAGCCGCTTCTTAACATCGGATATCCTACTCTTCACACCAGCTGTGACAACCAGGACAACCTGAACACTATTCATAGTCAGCCTTTCGCACGGCCCTCAGCCATATGAGAAAAATACATACCCGAACGGCGCCATCTCTAACCTCAGCGCATCTGTATAGGAATGTAGTGCTGCTTTGGACGCATTGTAGCATCCTATTTTGCATCAGCCAACTAGCACATCCAAAGGGGGGAAACAGATACATACCACCGAATACATACGGCACAATACCAGCCACAGACCCTATGTTCGCAATCTTTCCTTTCGCTTCAATAAGAAGTGGAGCAAACGCCTGCACCAAGCGAATACAACTAAACACGTTGATTTCGAAAACCCTGCGCATGTCTTCGATTTTTAGGTCCAGCACAGGGACTGTGTGGCTTATGCCGCTGTAGTATTGCGTCAGCACCTCTCTCCCAAACAACCCTATTACGCAACAAACAACAAAAACAAAGTAGTAAAGAGTAGCACAAGGTAAATTACTCACACATTGTTAACCAAAACATCAAGCTTTCCGCCAACACGCTCACAAATCTCATCATGCAGCGCCTGAATGCTCGCATCCGACGTGACTTCAAGGGTGACTGCTATGACGCCCTCGCTCAGCAGCGTCTTTTTGGCTTCTTCGGAGCGTACGGTGCCGAAAACTTGGAAGCCGCGGCGGAGGAATTCTAAGGCAAGTTCGTGGCCGATACCGCCGGGGGTGCAGCTGTTGGTTGGGTTGTGTGTTAGGTGTGTGGCTTTCGGGAGAGATAGAGGAGAGGGAAAGGGACAGTGTTCTTACCCTGTGATTAAGACTGTTTTTTGACGGGTCGCCATGGTTTTTGGTGGGTATGTTTTGCGATGGTGCAAGTGTTGGTGCGGATGACAAGCAATGCGTTCTTGTGTAGTTTAGTCTCTTCGTTGCATCTAGGGTTTCGTGCACTATCAATGTGGTTGAAGGGAAAAAGAAATCAGTAATGCTAATTTGATTAAAAGAAAATTTTGAATTCTTGAACAGATTTCTAAAAGTATTGTTTACATTCATGCGGCTTCGGTGATGTCTTAAGTTACGGACGCTCAAGTTGTGAGACTCGGCGCTCGGGAAACTGGGCAGGCCGCCGACGTTTCCGTGTAAGCACCGCCACATAAAGAACAATGTACTAAGTATTTTAATTTGTCGCTCTGCTGAGACTTCACTGAGATCAACGATGAATGTACGGAATAAAGTGTTTCTCTGAGGAAAACAGTACTCAGTACCCATAATACACCAGGCTTACGCTCGCTTGATTCTGTAGGATACACATTTCGACATGGATGGAGATTGACAGTACCAAGCACATGACGAAGTAAGATGCACATAACCCGGCTGATTAGGACCTGCTTTACAATGTTTTTTATCCATGATTTGGAATTATAGCCTGCAATGACTGGTCTGAAAAGCGGACATCAGAACCCTGCCCTTAATCCGTACTTTGCAATAAGGTCGTAGAGTGCGCGTGATAGATTGGCTACGAGTAGTTATTCCAAGTCGATTTCAATGATAATAAATATCGGCTCTTCCACCGCACCCATTCCCAGAACCATCCGATAATTTCCATACAAAATACTGCCAACCCGCCAAACTAAAGATGATATTTGAACAACGGACTCCGATCTCCCATCTTCTCTAACTGCGCGGGGGTATATATAGCGCGCCACTCCTCCTCCGTCTTTTCCGCATTCCTCTTGTTAATCCTGAAGAACAAGAATTCGAGCGTAAAAGCACACACAAGCCCCGCTGCTGCAAATGAGAGCGACGAGCCGAATCCGGTTTCGTATTTCGGTGACTCTTTTTCTTGGAAGATAAAGGAGCCAACGATGCCTCCTAGGTTGCCGATGCAAATCATAGTTGCGATACTATTTTCCAAAGTCAGTTCTACCATCTTCTTCCATGAATTTTGTTTACTGGGATGCATTAAGATGAAGGACGTACCCAACAGCTCGCTTTTCGGGTCCGGCGAGGTTGTTAATAGTCCAAGCATTGCATCCTGGGAGAATAGGGTAGAGGCCGATGCAAGCGACATGGACTGCAAAGTAGCAAACTGCGACGTTATCTTTGATAGCTTCTGCTTTGGCGAATAGAATGGCGTACGCGACGATGAGAAGAGCTTGTCCGGTGGCGATAAAGGGCATACGCCATGTAAATCGATCGGCAAGTAGGGAGGACACTAATGCTGAGATTGCACCACATGCATACGGTGGTGCGGTCATGAGTTGTGCGGTTGTACTTGTGAAACCCACTGTTGGAATGATAAGTATTTTTGAAAAGTGTACGAGCTGGCTTGACAACTTACTGTTCTTCAGGATCTGAGGCATGGTAAATTTTAGTCCGTAGTTTGGTACAGCGTTACTCGCAAAAACCATGGCTTGCAGGTATATCTGCCAGTCTTTTACAACCTGTCCGATGACGCCCCATTTGACCCTTTCTTTCTTGCCCTCGGCATTGACCCGTCTCTCGCGCTTCACACCGCGCGTAACAATGTGTGTGAGGCGAAGGAAGCGCGCCTCGTCAACTGTAAGCCATCGACCGGCTGCGTGATCTGGCGAGTCTGGTAACAAGAAGAAAACCGAAGCGCCTAATAGAACAGTGGCTATTCCTTCCAGGATGAAGATCCATCTCCAACTTCATACCAAACTATGTTAGTTCTCAATGTTTTAGTAAGATGCTCACGACGACACTCACCCCTCAAGTCCAGCAATCCCTACGTCCAATGGTCAGTTACGCTCAGAAGACACAGCAAAGAACTTCCATACCATTCATTTTAGCAATCGCAGCAGCCAAAAGTCCTGAGAACGCTCCACTCGTAGCAGACGCGCAGTAAAACAGCGCCATACGAAACTGCGTACGGTCTGGTGGGTACCACTGGCCAACGAGGTAAATCGCGCCAGGAAAAAAACCGGCTCTTCAACTACTTAGCAAAGAATGGCAGGCTACAGTTGCGGATAACTCACTCGAACAGACCAAGGAAAAATCTCGTAGCGCAAAGCCCTGCAAGATTCTGTACCAGGCCCATGACTGTCATGACAGTGCCCCAGCATAGCGTCAGCGTACCCATGTAGTACGATGGGCGCTTGAACTTTGCGAGAATCATGTTGGATGGAATCTCGAAGAGGACGTATGGCACGAAAAATACCATGAGCGCGACATTGTAATCCGTGCCTTTCATTCCCAGAGTTTTCTCGAGCCCTTCAATCTTGGCGTTTCTGTTGTACAGAGGTTAGCAGGAGCTCAATGCGCTTGGTTAAAGATAAAGAGGGCCTCTAACCCGATATTTGCTCTGTCAAGATGAGAGATGAGGTACAAGATAGCGAGCATGGGACATAAGCGCCAGTCAACCTTGTGGAAAATCTTCCTTTGCTCTGCCTTGTCAACGCTGTAGAGAAACTCTGCATCTTCTTGGCTTAACCCAGCTCTCATTGCCTGATGCAGGTGATCTGGTAAGCCTGCTAATGATGCCTTTTCGGTAGGAACCTCTTCCATGATATAGGTATGGTCTTTGGACGCAGAATCGTCCATTGCATCGCGCGCCATCTTGACTGTTGTCGATAAGAGTAATATGGATGGGGAATTCAACAAACTCCAGCCGACAGAAATGCAAGATGGACCAGCTGGACATTATACATGACCACGAATCCTTACCCGTAGTCGTACCATACATTAGCGAGGCCTGGCATTATCTCCACCGTCAACCCCTCATGCACGTGGACATGTGAACTCACCATGGAAACTCGGCACTGTAAAGACCATACGCCGGTACCAAAACTAGATCCGAGAAGCTTGAATAGTATTAGTGATTTCTTAATCTCCATATTAATGCATAAGAATACTAGGCCCAATGTAATGTGAACGTCGTTGCTACTGAGTGCACTCAGCAAGCCTTAGGCTACTCTCGATGTCTTCTGGTATTGAAGAACCAATTTTCTCTTTCTCAATCCCAAGTGCTGGTCGGGTCTCACAAATGTCACAATGGCTCATCGAAAATCCCACTCAATATGTCTGTACAAGCCAATTGTTTGCACACTCGTGGCAAGGATTGTCCAACGTAGGATGTATAACGAGTTGCCCTCCCTCGGTTTAGTACCATGTTACAATTTGACACTTCCCACAATAGTGGTTGGACACAGAGGTGGAGCACAAGGGTAACAGCACCCGATCATAACCACCTACCCAATACAGCTCAGTTGGATGCACGTTACATAGAAAATTGGACAACATGGCGTGTGTGATATGGGGAGCCAAGCCCTGGGGTAAGGCGGGGATGTGACGTGGTAGCCTCCTTGGCAGTGTCTTGTCATAACGGTAACTCGGGGAAGATTTCTTGCGGTCGCGATAACATTAGGCGAAAAGCATAGTCGCTCGTCAACTGCCGGGTGGTTGCCAAGCGTGTACTCATGCTTGAGTTATCGGATGATGCTGACTGACTCGTTGCAGGTCCTGAGCGGTCAGAACACTTTGGGTATGCTGTAGCCTAGTGTACGGTCAAGAAATAAGCAGTGAATCAAGTATTGTGTGATTGATGATGGTGGAAAGGTAGCTGTTAGCTAGTCTAAGTACTTCATATGGTGCCAAGGCGCTATCCCTCATCCAGTGCATATGGCTTTAGCAAACTACACTGCATATTTCCAAGTCGATCGTTGTAAAATTCGTTATGCTTGCTATTGGCTGTGAAAGGCTTGAAATGTGAATAGCTTGACACCGGAAGATTTCGATGAGATCATTGCTTTTTGGTCTCAATAATAAGCTTCGTTCGTCTATATACACTATAGAATCTCCATCCCATACATTCCACAACTGAAGTCTTCAGACCAGACATTCTTTCAGTCCAACCATCATCAATTTCCCATAATTGGCAATCATCTCCGAGCACATCCATCCCCACTTTCCCAGCTTCTACTCCTGTTACACTGTCTTCAAATACTAAGCACTCGTCAGGCTTAATCGTATCCTCTGCATCATGCGCTGAATTCAATGATTCTAACGCCATTAGACATACGTTAGGTGCGGTCTTCCCTCGACCTATATATAGTCGTGCATTGCCGCCCAGAATCTGATGTTCTGGCTGGAAGAAATCTAACAACTGCTTCGTCTCCAGGCTCGAAGTTTTCAATCTATAGCTATGGCTCTTACTGCTAGATGCTAAAGCTAATTTGATCTTGCCTCCCGAGGAACTTTGCGCATGGCTAATATCAGAAAGAAGTGTGTTAGCAGGTCTGTTGTAATTATTAAGAAGTCGGTTTGTGCAAAGAGTGATAATATCTTCAGAGTCGATGAGGAGTTCGTCCATGTCGGAAATGCATGCTTAATTGGCGGGAACATCGTAGTAGTAGATCTATTGGCTTCGGGTAATGGCTTCACGGTTTAATGTAACTGTTATAGATGAACGCGCCCTGGACAAACCTGGTCGCCTACATTGGAGGAGCTCACTGTGATCTAGAAAGCGCCATGTTGTCACAAGCGGCTGAAGCCTTCATATCCAAGATTGTCGAGGCGGAAGGAGTTGAGCCTGCTGGCAATGTCATGCCAAGGTAGTATGAGTGCGGGGTGAGAAACGAGCTATTACTACGCACATTTGTAGCGAAACGATCAATGTCAATAGGGTTGAAATGATTGGATATTCTGTTAGTAAAGCCACTCGGCCCCAGTTCTCTATTGTTTGCTTCTAAGCACAAAGACATACAACATATATACCCAATAAACATAAGGATGAAAGAGCAAAGCCTTATTTCTTGGCTCCCGACCTCGCCAGCTTCCTCATAAAAGCATTCTGGACACCCTTTGTTCCCTTGAGCTCCTTGTTCCTGCTCTTGTTGACCTCCATGTATGCCATAGTCTGTCCGCCAGACAATTCAGAAAGTGTGCCAGCCGCTCTCCGCACTCCAAACTTCTTCTTGTTGCCCTTGTTCGAAGCGTACTTTGTGCCAAACGCATCGCCTTCGATCCTTTCTTCCTTGGCATCCTCTTCACGGGCAAGCAGAACATCCATGAGGAGCTCTCGCCGCTCTTGCGGTGTCGCGAATGCTAGTTGTGAAAAGTTTTCAAGTCCTTCGAGACGGGTGATGACTTTGAAGGCGTACCCTTGATCAACAAGGAAGGCTTGTCGCTTGGATGAGTAGTACATTTCGTCCGTGTCCTTGGATACCAGAGAGTAGAAGAATGCGTTAAAGCCCTCGTCGTTCCTCCTCTTGGCTCGCAGAATTCTGCCTAGTCGTTGCGCTTCTTGACGACGCGAGCCGTAATGTGACGAGATTTGAATCAGACATGTCGCTTCTGGAAGGTCCAAGCTGGTGTCGCCAATCTTGGAAAGGAAAATGGTGTTGACGAGCTCGTTGTGTTGAAAGTTCTCCAAGATACGAAGACGTTCTTGTTGTGGAGTTGCGCCGTAAATGTATGCTTTTCCAAGCTTACGCGAGTACTTCTCCAGGGCGTACACATTATCCGAAAAGACAATGATTTTGTCGCCTCGCGATTCGTGATAATTGATGAGAAATTGGCAGGCTTGGAATTTCTTTGGGTTCATAATTGAAAGCAATGCACGCTTTTGCAGTGATGAAGGTTTGAGCCATTCAGTGTAAAATTCAGGCGTCATTTGGCACCAAACTTCTGCACACTGCACTTTGGCAATATGTCCTTGTTCTGACAACTCTTGCCAGTTGGCCTCGTAGAGCTTGGGACCAATGAGAAAGTTGAGATCATCAATCTTGTCATCTTCTCGAAGGAGAGTGGCGGTCAAGCCGAGTTTTGCGTGCGATGCGATCTCATAGGTGACCTTCTTGAAAATGTTGGCAGGCACTACGTGCACTTCATCAGCTATCAGCAGCCCCCATTCCTGCCCACGAATGAACTGCATGACCTTTTCCGCATCGTGCGAACGCTTTCTTGCATTACTGATCATAGAGTAGGTACTGATAATGATACCAGCCTGACGAGGAAAACGGGTCTTGTTATCTGCCGTGAAGACGGCCACATCCTCTGGATTAATGTTCGACCACTTGATGAATTCGGCGCGCCACTGAACAACGGACATGGCACTTGTGCACAGGACAATGACGGATTTCTTCACACCACAGGCAGCTGTGATGCCGACTAGAGTCTTACCTGCGCCACATGGCAGCACTATGATTCCTGAACGGGCACGAGAGTTTGAAAACATCTTACTAAGAGCCTTCTCCTGGTAGTATCGAATCTGGGCGTGCGGCTTGAGATCGATTTCCAAGTTTGGATTGGTATCGTCATTGTTGAAGTCGTACTCTTCAGTCAGTGGTAGGCCAATAGCTCGGCAACGTTTCACGACCTTTTCACGCTCCTCACTCTTAATTTGGAACGAGTGGACTTGGGCGACCTCGTCATCATCGTCGTCCTCGCGCAGTGTAGCAATCATATCGCTTGGAGCAGGATTTTGAGCAACTTCCGGCTGTTGCTGTTGTGCCATGTTATTTGCACCAGCGGCTAGCTTGGTACCTGGGATCGCCATCTGACCAATCTTGGGTGCAGCTTCTTTGATGAGGCCATCGGTCGTATCAGCCCTGCACTCTGCGACGACGGGGTCGCGGAGGAGTTTCTGGAGGATAGCAGGATCCTCGCTTTCTATGTAGGACAGTGTCTTTTTCAACACAATCTTGGCCTTACCGAAAGCGGACGTGGACTTTTCAACAAACTGGATGATGGCTTCAGACAGGGCAGTTTTGGAGTAGCGGTCAAGCTTCTCGATGATCTCTTGTTTAGAGTGACCAACACTGACGGCAGCGAACAGACTGTGGGTTGTGAGCTGGTATTCATGCATCTTGGAGACACGCGACTGCGGCTCGGCGATGTTGATCAAAAAGTCTTGGGCCTCATCGAAGAGTGGATGAAAGGACTCGAGGATGATTCCGCCTGCATCATTGACCCATAGGGGACGATTGTAATGGTCCGATTTGAGGGGCGCACTCCACTGGTCCGACTTTCTGAAGAGATCGGCTGCGGCGTCGCGGACACGGCCAGCGCGCGCGCGCTTCGTCATGGCCTTGACATCGAACTCTTCCTTAAGCTGATCGAACGTCTCTTGGTCGCTCATGGGGCCCTCGTCGTTATCGTCCCAGCCATCCTCAGCCTCAGCGTCAGCAGCCGTCTGTGCGAGCTTTCGTTTTGGCGGCATGGTGGCGGAGTGCTCTCTTATGTAGCGAAGTGCGGGTGGCAAGGGCGCGCGCCGGGCGTAGGAATTCGCAGATGGGCACCTGGAGACGAGGACGCGGCAATGAGGGTAGGGACGGGCGCGGGCGAGGTAGGAAGAAGGGAAGGACGCGCGGACGGGAGTGAAATAAGAACGGATGGGATTCGCAGGCAGCAGTCGTCGATATGATGTACCATGGGCAGGGCAGTGCAGTGATTATGTAAGGCTAGTAGAGCGGTCCTGTCCCTGCAGCAGAGCCCAGAACCCAGTGACTTTACTAGCGAGGACGCTGGTACAAGTGTGTAAATGTACGCATGACAGGTGCCAGCGAGACAAACAACATGTATGAATTCACAATGTGTGTGTAGAAGAAAAAGACGCGCCGAGACGCGAAAACATGTGAATGGCCGGGGGTAGATTGGGTCGGGTGGGTGTGCAGCTGGGCGGCCGACGTCACCTTGTCCCTGTCAGCGAGGCTGCACTGCTTTCTGGCCAGAATACACGCATACTACACAGATAAACACTCGCCCACACCCGTAGATACATACACCCCCCACATATAGACACTCTCCCCCGCAGAATGAGCGCATGAAGACGTAGCATGCTTCCCAATGGGCGCATCCGACTCCAAACTCTCCTTCAAGCAGGGCATCTTCCGCCTGTCTGAGCCCAAGCAGATCCCTGCCGACGATGTCTACTGGACCGGTGTATGCCGTCTGCTCAACTCATATCCTGCTCCTCTGCTGACCTTGGCTGCCAGTTCTGGGAGCTGCCCGAATCCACCGAAGATGTCTTCTCCCTCTTCTCGCCCGCAGACATTCGCCGCACCCGCGACAACAACCTAGCCAACCTCGAAACGCTGGTGCTCGCAGTCACCTCGCGCCTCATAGTTTTGCGCAACCACCCCTCGTTCCCAGACCCCGACCTCGCCCCGGAGCGCGATGCCCTCAACTGCATTCGTGTCCTCACCCGCCTGCTGCCCTTTTTGTACGAGGCCGACCACCTCGATACGTGGGAGGACCAGTTCTTTTGGGCTGAGCGTCGCAAGCGCAGTCGCAGAGGCCAGCTTGTGCGCAGCGAGGTCATCTTCGACGAAGCCGACCCGGAACAGACGCCCACAGAGAAGGAGCCCGAGTTTGAAAAGGCCAAGCCGCTGGCCGAAGAGATTATCGACACCCTCATCGACCTGCTCTTCTTCTCCGACTTCACCCTGCCCAAGGTCGCCCCGGGCAAAAACAAAGTCAGCTATGCCATCTGGCAGAGCGGCGTCGGCTGCAACACGCCCGTCGCATCCACAAAGGAGTTTGAAAGCAACAGGACCGAGATCTTGCGCCTGCTCCTCACCCTGGCCAGCAAGTCCATGTACATGTCGGCGGGTATGCACCTTACCATGCGCACACATCAAGTCGATGCTAACCAATTGCAGGCGTGCTGCCAGTAAAAGGCGTCAAGGCAATCACATACATCGCCACATGTCCAGACAAACAGGTCGTCTTGTCTGTGCTCTGCTCGCTCCTCAATACTGTGTGTGTCCCTCGTCGCTTCCTCGTGTAGCCGCTGATCCCCCACAGACGCTCAAGTACAACCCCGCAACATGGCGCGTGCCCTACGACCACGTCGTCTTCAAGGACCAGCGGCAGATTTTGGTCACGTACTGTTTGCAGCTGCTACTGGTACTCGTCCTGTATCCCATCCCTGAGCCTGGCAATGGCCCGGCGCCCAAGAATTTCTTCCGTCACTTTCTTGGTCGCCTGCACCGTCCGCAAGATTTCCAGTTCCTCGTCGATGGCATGACAAGAATTCTCAACCAGCCGGTACGCAACACGCAAATCCACTGCCTTTCTGTTTGCTAACACACGCTAGCTTCAAGCAAATACGTCCTATCTCCCTGGTAGTCACAAGTCGCTAACATGGGCACCGGAGATGATCATGCTCTTCTGGGAGGCGCTGCAATGCAACAAGCGCTTCCGCTCCTTCATCATCGACACCGACAGAGCCCATGACTTTGTTGTCTTGGTTTTGTACTATGCCATTGATCAGCGCAATGATCCCTCCAAGCAGGGTCTTGTCCGCATGTGCATCTTCGTGCTCCAGACACTGAGCGTCGAGCCACAGTTTGGCAAGAGCCTCAACAA